GCACCTGCAGCCAGGCCCGCGCTGGACCCCGTGGGCACACGCGGCCTGGAGGTTTTCCAGGAGGAGGGCGGGAGGGTCCCCGTGGGCAAGGGCAGGTCTGGGAATCGTCTGCAGCACCAGGCCTGGCCTGGGGGACCCCCAGCTGCCCTCACAAGCAGGGTGCACTGGGGCCCTGGTGGTAAGGGGGCTCAGCAAGCCGTGGGGGTGCCCTGATGCCTCCCCAGCCACCTGCCCGGGGGTGCTGGGCCCTGGGCATCTTCTTGCCAGGCATGGGTGGGAGCAGCTGGCTCTGGCCTGGGGTACACGAGCTGTGGCAGGCCCCGGCCAGGCGGAGAAGGCCCACAGGACCAGGCCCAGGGCCAGGAGGGGGGGCGGGAGCGGCCCTGCAGAGGGTGATTGATACCAGAGAGGCAGCTGCTGGTGGTGGCCCCCCGGCCAGGCCCCCCCCCCCCCCCCCCCGAGCCCCACGAGACAGAGGAGCAGGTGACGTGGCCAGGGGCATGGCAGGGCGGGCGCCATTGGCTCCCCAGCGTCTCACGTGGCTGCCGGCCTGGCCGATGTGGAGTCTGTGCGTGTACGTGCGTGTGTACGCGTGCGCTGGCCTGCTGCATGCGTGAGCAGCCTTCTGAGTGCGGGAGGGGCATTGGGCCAGACCCCCCCCCTGCACTTGCTGCTTTCTGCTCCACAGCCACCAGCTCCTGTACACACATGTCCTAGCATGTGTAACCTTCCATGCGTGTCCCTGCACACCTGTTGTTGAACACATTCCCTTCCAGAACTGTCCTTGCACACACATCCTACCATGAATGTCCTGGCACATGTATCCTTCCACGCATATCTTAGTGAAAGCCGGTGCTTTCTCAACAGCACTGGGGATCCAGGCCCAGTTGGGCAGGAATGACCTGTCCCCGGGTGCATGTGAGCCTGAGACGGTCTCTCCCGCTTGGAGCCACTCCGAGGGAGAGGGATGGAGCTGCCCAGAGGATGGAGCCCAGAGACTGGACCTGGGTCCGTGTCCCTACCACTGACCTGACCCTCCCCAGGGTCCGGCTTAAACCAGGGAGCCTGAGATCACTGTGCCCCCCCTCAGACTGCATCTGGCAATGGGCAGCTGGAGGTCCTGACATGGGGCTTTAGCGTGGGAACTGCTCTGCTCATAGCCTTGCAGCTCCTGGCACCAGCACCTGCTCCTCAGGGCTCCCGCGTGGCACCATAGTGCCTAGGGTAGATGCTGCCCCAACCCCCAGTTGAGCAGTGTCTGCCCAGGCTGTGCTGCTCCCAGAGGGAAGGGGTAACTTCTCCGGGCTCAGGCACCATCTCCCCCTGGGAAAGTATCGGCATTACTGGTCCCCTGATTCCTGGGGCTGGGGCTGGGGCTAGGGCTGCCATGGATGCCTTGGGCCGTCTGCAGCTGGTGGGGACCTGCTGTGCCTTCTGCTGGGACTGACCTAGTGCTCATGCTGGGACACTGACCCCTCTGCTCCGGGTCAGACAGATGCTGCCCTGGAGGAAGGAAGAGATTTCCCCCCAGTCACATTGGCCAGGACTGGAGGGGTTTCCCCTTCCTCTGCAGGATACGGCCCAGGCCTCGGGTCTTTTTGGTGCATTGAACCCCCCTGGCAGCAGCAGGACCCTCATCCCCCGACATTATCTGGGGCAGGGGCAGGGGCTCTCAGTGTCTGTAGGCAATGGGCCCGCTCACTGCATCCAGGGCTGGGGTGAAGCCAGGACTGGGTCACACCAGGACATGTCTGGGGGGTTGGACAGGCCTGATGCTGCCTGGAGCAGGGGCTGAGCCAGCTGTGACCCCCCCAGGGTCCGACCTGCTCAGCTGCTCTGTGACTATGATCCTTCATGGGGTGTCCCTCCACCCCCCCGCTGCAGGGATCTGTGCTGTTCCAATGTTCCTTTAAAGGCGGGGGACATTATCAACCAGACCCTGCCCATCGTCCTGACAGCCTGGCTCCCCCGGACCGCCATGCACACACGCCCATGAAGCCCGTGCT